CAGTGCCGGTCCTGGGCAAGATGGCCATTTAACAGATGAGGAAAGAAGGCTCAGGGCCGTGGGGACTGTCCGGGTGGGTCACATGGCTGGCAGGTTTCAGGGCCTCTCTGTCCATCCGGGGCCCAGAGCTACTCTGTGGCTTGGGTGTGATCTGGAGCTACTGCCTCAGGACCCACGACCATCCTGGCAGTGTGGCCCCTTCAGAAAAGCTGGAAATGCAGAAATCAAGCACAGGCACCTCCCCCATGAGCTACTCGAGAGAGAGAGGAGCAGTCAGGCATCCTTATGGAGAAAAGGAGAAGCAGGACCCAGAAAGGGTTTCCCTGCAAGATTCCTCAGGGCCCGGCAGGCCTCAGCCCCAAGATTGAGGCCAACTTATTGGAGGTGTGTGTGTGTGTGTGTGTGTGTGTAAAACTGAGTATGCGAGCATGAGCCCAGAGCTGGGGGTGCAGGCCACGGAGGTGTGAGGGTCCACCTCCCCGTCTCGCTGACCCTGTGTACAGAGGAGAGATGGAGGCAGGGGAGGCTGTGTCCTGCCCAGGCCAGTGGCCTGCCAGTGACAGAGGGGAAGACTCGCTCATGGTGGGGCTGCTTGGGATCACAGAAGAGTGGCCTGGCCGGCCTGGCAGCCCCGGCCCTGGAGCCAGCCAGGGACTCCTGGGTTCTGCTTCCCTGGGAGCTTCTATGGGAGAGTCCCTGGGCCCCCTGATACCAACCCCTTCCGGGATCAATGGCCCCTTGCTTTTGGCACAGAGCTTCAGGGCCAGTGGGTGCCTCTGGTCCAGTAACTGAGGAAAGCTTTCGGTGGTGCTCTGGGCACCTCTGTGACCTGCCCTGGGCCCAGCCCTCGTGCTGATCCCACTGTAGCCACCCTACTCAGTGCCCCAGGCCCTGGACACCGCAGGTCGTGGGATGTCCCATGCATTAAAACTCTCACAGCCACCTACACTTATGAGCAGACACAGAGGCGTGGTGCCACCTCTGCCTTCTCAGGCAGGATACGTTTTCTGTTTGTTTTGAGATAGAGTTGTGCTCTGTCATTCAGGCTGGAGTGCAGTGGTGCAGTCATGGCTCACTGCATCCTCGAACTCCCGGGTTCAAGCGATCCTCCTGCCTCAGCCTCCTGAGTAGCTGGGACTACAGTCTTGGGCCACCATGCCTGGCTAATTTGTTTTTATTTTTATTTTGGTAGAGACTGGGTCATGCTATGTTCCCCAGGCTGGTCTCGAGCTCCTGGGTTCAAGCAATCCTCCCGTCTTTGCCTCCTAAAGTCCTGGGATTATAGAGGTATAAGTCACCATGCCTAGCCCAGAATGTGCCTCTTAACCTTCATACCACAGCCCCTATGCTCAGGACGAGGAGGGACATAGGCCAGCTGCCCCAGGTTCCCCCAAGGGGACAGTGTCACCCTGGAGTGGGCTCCTTGGTGGGCAGAGTCACTGTCTCCCAGCAGCTCCCAATCCATCCCATCACAAGCCAGGACCAGGCACTGCCATCAGTTTGATAGTTGATTTTTTCCTGCCAAGAGGAGGTCCCTAAGAGCCTGAGCCATCCGTGAGGGACAGTGCTGTCCTGTGGCCAGGCCCCATTGTCGCTAGGGAGTGGCCTGGCCTGTTCCCTCACCCAGCTCCGGTCTGCACCACAGTCACTCCACTTGGGGTTGTCACTGCCCGAGGTTAGGACGTCAGCAGGAGCCAGCCTCATGTGGCAGAGGTGATGGGGAATTACAGCCTGCAAGGGCTGATGGCATCGGAGAGATACAGGAAAGCAAAGGGCTTATTAAAAAGCTGAAATTGGTTCTAAACGAGGTCAGCCGTCGATGCGCCTTGGAGGGAAGCCAGGCGCTGAGCAGCAGGAACGGGGCTTATTTCCTGATACCGTAGCCATGACACGCTGCACCTCCCCAGCCTACTCCACCCCCACCCCACCTCTGGAGGGTAACGTGCACCCAGACACTGGAGCAGAGCCAGTGGGGGTGGGAGCAGGGCGGAAAGACCCCCCGCGGGGCACCACAGGGAGGCATGTGGCCAACAGAGCACCTGGCAGGCAGGTGTCACCTCCGAGGAGGGTGAGGGCAGGAGGAGAGCTGACCGCTGCTTCCTTACCCTGGGGTCGGATTGCTCCCTTTGAAAATCCATTAATGCAAGGAACGGCGCAGCCACAGGGCCATCCGATTGGATCCGCTCCCTCCCGCCCGGCCCCAATCTCCGCAGATTTTCTCTGTGGTTGCATTTCTCATCTGAGCGTCCCTTCCTCCTGACTCCAGTGGAATTTTTCTGACCTTGGCTGCCAAGGTGTACAGCCCCCTCCAGCTCAGGGAGCCCTCTTTGGGGTGCTTGACCCGGGCACTGGCCTGCCCTGTGAGCTCAGGCCCGTTGTCTCGCCTCTCTGAGGCTGCCTCTCCTGGGTCTGAGACAGGGGTGATCGCACACCCAGCCACCCAAGGCTGGCCAGGATGGAGGGAGGCAAAGCAGGGGAAGCCCTGGTGCAGCTTGACTTGTGTCTCCTGTCCCTCCTGTCCCTCCGTAGGGCTTGGTCACCATTATTTTGGAATCAGCTGAATCATTTCTGTCAAATGCGAGAGGAAAGCCAGTTTTGAGTTGGATAAAGAAAATGTCTTTAGATTCCTGTTAAAAATAAACGTGTGTGCATAACACTGCTGTGTATGAGACCACACCTGCCGTCCCTCCTTAGAGCTCCCAGTGGCTGTAGGTCCAGGAGAGGATCGAGGCCCGCAGGTGTGGCAAGCCGTCTGAGGGCTGGCAGCATCGGGGGCTCTTCGCAGCCTGTCACTCCACAGAACCGCTGGGCTGAAGGAAGCTGGAGGGATCAATTGTCCTTGTCATCCAACTTCCTCTGTCTGCAGATGGGGAGGAGGCGCTGGGTTGGAAAGTGCTTCTCTGAGGACGCCAGCTGCGCATTCAGGAGGGTGGAGCAGGATGTGACCCCAGAGCTCTGACCCCAGAGGAGTAGGAGGGGTGCCTGGGGCCTCAATACCCCAGAGGAGAGGGAGGCACCCCCCTTCCCACAATGCAGGCCCCAGCTGGTGCTTGTTTAGCCTGCTGTCTAGCTGGAGCCACCTGGGTGGCCACCAGGCTGCTGGGAGGGCTCACCCCTGAGCTGGGTGTGCTGTGGAGCCCGCGACCCCCCCCCCCGCCTCTGCTGGCTTTTGTTATCCCGTGCTGGGAACACAGGTGCCTGCCCACCCCGGAGCCTCTTCATATCACCGGCTCGCTGTGGCCGCTCCCTGATCCCGAGAGCGAATGTCCAGGATGCACTGTTATCTCGATGCCAGACACCTGCTTACGTGGCACAGAAGAGGAGGTTTTGGAAATAATCTGAGGCATGAAGGTGAGGTGCTCTCAGGCGAGGGAGGTGGCATGTCCTGATGGGAAAGCCAGGCCTTCGGAGGCTGAACCCTTCCCAAAGCTCAGCAGACAACCCCAAGAGTGTCTTTCCCCTGGCCTGGGCGTCAATTTCACACTACTGCAAGTATGCACTTGGTCCTCACCTGCCTGGGCCATGGTGGGGGTGAACGGTGCCCCTCTGAGTGCAGTCAGTGAGGAGGGGTTCATGGCCTGAGCTTGGCTTTGCAGGGTGGCCTGGCCACTGTGGGGCAGAGAGCACCGCCTGCCAGGGCCAGGGGTAGGCTGGCACTTTCTCCAAATTTCACGTTCATGCAAAGACACGGTCATTCCTTTCCACAGCACAGAGCTCAGAGCTGAAGCAGCCTCCAGACCTGCCATGATGGGTATTTGAGGACTTAAACGTCACTGTCAGCCTGTGACATTAATGTACCCCTAAGGCTAGATTCTGGGTTTCTCCAAAGAGACGAGAAAGACGATGAGAAAAAAGGAAGGAAGGGAGGGAGGAGGCTAGGGAGGAGGCTGGGGAGGAGGGATGGCTTCTAGTCCAGCTGGACAGATCTGTCAACCCAGCCTGGGGGGTGGAGCTGGGGGGATCAAGCAGAATGTCCTGGAGGCCGTTGCGCTCTGTCTACTTGTGGGAGAGGACAGGAGAGAGAGATGCCATGGTGAGACTGACCCTCGGGCCCATGGGTGGATGATGGCAAAGGTCCTGTGGCAGGTGTGGGAGAAGCAGGGCTGCAGTCAGTTGCCCTGAAAGGCTTCAAATTCAGGCCAGATCTGCTCTGGGAAAGAGGAAGCTGTGGGTTTGGGAGCTTCAGAGACAGGAGAGCAGGCCTGTCACTCACCCTCTTTTCCTTAAACGCTGTCACCCCCAGCAGTGCACCCTGCAGCCTACCTATCCCCTGTGCAGCTCCAGCTCCGTGTGTCCCCAGCGATGCACCCCACGCCCATGTCCCCCATTCCCTATGATGTTCTCGCGCCTTCTGGAGCAGCCGTTGTACCAGCTGGAGGCTGTGGGAAAATTGAGGAGACAAAAGTGGGAACAGCAGGCCGTGGAGAGAGTGTCTAAACACAGGGACTATTTGGAGATTGCCTTATTTTTGGTTCGAAATGGGCCCACCCGCTAGTATTGTACAAACGGCTCTGCTCGCTGGGCCAGGCCTGAGGCGGCTGCGGGCCCATCCTTCACTGGTTGGCCTGGAGCAGCTCCTCAGACCTCAGTCTGCTCATCCGTGGGTGGTGGAGGTGGTGCAGACCCCATCCCACTGGGGACTGGGCCGGACAGCCTGTGAGGCAGTCAGCCGGTGCCTGGCCGGAGGGCGTCTGAAAGGCCTCTTGGCTGCAGCGCAGGGGGGATCTGCTTTTGGGACAGCTCTTCAAAGCCATCTCAGAAGGGACAGCATCCGCCTGTCTGCTTCAGCTCCCACTGATGACGTCCATGTGTCATTAGTGCCAATTAGAGGAGGGCAGCAGGCAGAGTGCTTGGCCTGGGGCGCAAGCTTGTGGGAGGGACAATTGAATTCCCCACCAGACAAATGTGATTATCCATGTTACTTGGACCCACCCCATTCAGGACCGGGGCATAAATAGCCAGGTGGGACCACAGAGCTCACCCCAGCCATGCAGGCCCCCAGTCGGTGGTGTCGCTGGGCCAGCCTGCCCTGCCCCAGCGTGCGAGAGGCCGCCTTCATGTACAGCACAGCAGTGGCCGTCTTCCTGGTCATCCTGGTGGCTGCACTGCAGGGCTCGGCTCCCCCTGAGAGCCCCTTCCTCTACCGCATCCCCCTGGACCCTGAGGAGTCCCTGGAGCTCTCATGGAATGTCAGCTACCCCCAGGAGGCCATCTTCTTCCAGCTCCTGGTGAAGCAGCTCAAGGCTGGAGTCCTGTTTGGGATGTCCGACCGTGGCGAGCTTGAGAACGCAGACCTCGTGGTGCTCTGGACCGATGGGGACACTGCCTATTTTGCGGTGAGTCTCTCCTTCCTGCCAGTTCTCCAAACCCTTCCCGACCCAGCACCCTATCTGGCTGTCCTTCCTTTTTTTTTTTTTTTTTTTTTTTTGAGATGGAGTCTCGCTCTGTCACCCAGACTAGAGTGCAGTGGCCGGATCTCAGCTCACTGCAAGCTCCGCCTCCCGGGTTTACACCATTCTCCTGCCTCAGCCTCCCGAGTAGCTGGGACTACAGGCACCCGCCACCTCGCCCGGCTAGTTTTTTGTATTTTTTAGTAGAGACGGGGTTTCACCGTGTTAGCCAGGATGGTCTGGATCTCCTGACCTCGTGATCCGCCCGTCTCGGCCTCCCAAAGTGCTGGGATTACAGGCTTGAGCCACTGCGCTCGGATCTGGCCGTCTTTCTACACTCACCCTCCTTAACCCAGAAAGATTGTCTGCGCCTCTCAGTGTTTGAGCTGACTCTGCTCTGAGCCGAGTCTGCACCCCGAGCTTGGGCATCACGGGGATCTCAGTGTGAGGACAAAATAGGAAAGACATGTTTTCCATGGTCCTTGACTGCCCACCCCAAATCACGGGACCCAGCAATCCCAAGGAATGGTACTATACACAGAGGACACACACGCCACACAAACTCATGCTGCTCCACACCCCACGTGTGCGGGAGCACAGACCCCACAACCCCCGGCCCTGTAAGCAACGTCCCCAGAGCCCACTGATGTGGGCCAGGTGGTGGCGCACGGCTGGGCACCGCATGAGGCCTGTGCACCCATGGGATCCAGCCTGACCTACTGTGCTTGTACCCATGGAGTGACTGAGCAGGTGCAGACACCCTGCCCCCACCCATAGGTGTCGAACAAGCCCCACAGGGCTCAGCCGAAACCGTCAGGATGGGCTCTTGACTCCTTTCTGCCCAAATTCACCTCCACTCTTGTTTCACAGGGTGGAGAAAGGGGAGAAGTTTCCCTTCAAACTGGAGAGGACTTTAGGCCCTTCCACAAGCCGCAGGGGGTCCCCAAAGTGGGCAAGCCCACCGCCTGCCCTGGGTCCTGCTCCCGCCCTCCTTCCAATACGGGACCGGCCACCAGGGCTTCTTTGTGGATGAAACCCAACTCTCTCTACAGAAACAGACCAAGGAGGGACAAAAAAGTGTTATTTCCAAAGTCAGGAGGTGCCTGCTTTATCTGGGAGAACAGAGCTGGAGCCAGGGAGCTGAGTCTGTGCAGATCGGCCAGCTCCAGCTCTGCGCCTTGATCTCGCCATGGGACGATGGGGAGCTGGAGAGCTGAGTCTGCAGAGCGGCCGGCTCCACCTCTGCGCCTTGATCTCGCCATGGGACGGTGGGGCGGACAGTCCCTCTCTGCCTTTTTGGGTGTTGTGAGTTCATGAGGGCAGACGGTGGCCGCTGTTTCTGGAGCCGAGCTTGCCCCCTCCAATTCCCAGGACTCAGCCGGGAGGCATTTGCCTGTGTCATTAGTGAGGCTTAGGGCCACCCAGATAGGATGGGTGGAGCTGCCTGGGAAGGGCCCTGCTCTGACCCATGAGGCTGCACAGATTCCTGTGCACAAGGAGACTCTGTGGCTCAGGTTCCAGCCAAGAAAGACCTGGGACAGCCCTGATTCTGAGCTGTCAGCCGTCTGGAGGCGCAGCTGAACCCCATCGCTGACAGTTTGGAGTTCTTCGCAAGCCGCTGCCATGAGGCACCCTGAGTGCTGGAGTGTTTGCTCCTCCCTGGTGCAGCGTGCCCCTGCCTGCATTTCCCCGCTGCAAGGGAAGCCAGAGGAAGCCAGGTGACTTTGCCTTTCCGTGCACTGGCAAGGTTAATTTGCACAACAAATTCCTACGAAAACAAATGTCAGCCTTGTTATTCCTCCCTATGTTCAACTAATATCTTCTTGATTTCCAGCTGAAATATCACAGGAGAACTTTCTGCCTCTGTTTAAAATGAGTCTCTCGGCAAGCCAGCCGTGTCCCCGACAGGGTGGCACTGTGTGGCTTTTTTCTCTAGGGAAAGTTTTGCAATATCTTTTGCAGATTTCTTTTTTCTCAAGGAAATGAAGAAAAGATGTTTTACCCCTGAATATAAGATTAAAAAGAAACACAACCCAAAGTCCTTAAGGCCAAGGGCCCGAGGCTTTCTTGGGATTTCTATGGGAAAGGCCAGGCAGGGCAGGGAAGTAGCTTTGTTTGGACAATTCTGGTGGGCTCTGGGTGGCTGGGGTGGTCTCTAGTTGTCTAGTTCCTGGCCCTAGGGTGATTTAGGGCTGGGGCAATATTGGCCTGGGGTGTGAGAGTCAGGTGGAGGAGGTGGCTAGGGATATGGGCTTGGGGTGGGTCGGAAGGTTAGGAATATGATTCTCACACACACGTGGATGTTGGAGGGCAGGACAGGTGTAAACAACTCTGGTTATCTGTTTGAGCCTGCAATCAATTAATAGATGCCAAATAGACAAACATGGAATCTAAGAACGGCCCTTCTTGAGTACGAAGGGCAGCCTGCTTTTCGGGGAAGGTTCCTCACTGTTTCTCAGTAGATCTCCCTGGTGGTCTTCTTCCCTGTGACCTGGCCTGAAGCCACCATGTCCCTGCCCCTTAGGGCCCAGTGCAAAGGGAGCAGCCGGGGACGGGGAGGGCAGAGGTCACCGATCCAGATCCCAGGAAGCATCCTGGGAGAATGCAGCAGGTCCAATGCCTCCCTGGGCCTCAGCTTACCTTCTCCAAGCAGGGCTGGGACTAAGGTGAGGGGAGCAATGCCTAGGCTGCAGGGTTTAAAGTGATGCTTCAGGCTGGGTGTGGTGGCTTATGCCTGTAATTCCAGCACTTTGGGAGGACGAAGCAGGAGGATCGCTTGAGGCCAGGAGTTCAGGACCAGCCCAGGCAACGTAGTGAGACCCTACCTCAAAAAAACCAAAAAAACAAAAAAAAACAAAATTACATGTATTTATAAAATAATAGAGCAGTGCTTGTTCTCAGGGTTGTGCCAGTGCAGGGTGGGCACCTGCTATCAATCACCACCTTCGATGTGGCACCCTGGTTTCTCTCTCCCTTCCTGTTCATGTCCCACCCTGTTCCCAACTTTCCCTTTTCTGAGGCTCCACAACTCTCCTGCCTGCATGAATGTGGGCAGCATGGGTCTGAGGCATTGTTCCCAGTCCTGATGAGGTGTTGGGAGCCTAGCCTAAGGTATCTTCTTAAGAAGCTCAGTGTCCCGCCCTCCAGGCCTGGGAATCCCCATGGCTAACAGAGCCTGTGACCTGCTGGCAAGTGAGAGCCCTGGTTCCTGGCTGCAGAGGAGCCCTGCAGAGGAGGTCAGGGCTCAACTCCACTGCCTCCAAGCAGAAATGGACATACAAGGTGTGAGTGAAGCCCCAAGCCCAGGCAGAACCCTCAGATCCACAGGGACTGAGGCCCAGCAGCCCCAGCTCAGCTGGCAATGAACGCAGAGCTCTGCTGGGGAATGCCCTCTTCCCTTGTGGATTGGCCCGGCTGGGGTCCTTCATGCCTGGAGCCCAGTGCTTGTCTCTGCAGGACGCCTGGAGTGATCAGAAGGGGCAGATCCACCTGGATCCCCAGCAGGACTACCAGCTGCTGCAGGTGGAGAGGACCCCAGAAGGCCTGGCCCTGCTTTTCAAGAGGCCCTTTGGCACCTGCGACCCCAAGGATTACCTCATCGAGGTAAGGGGTGGCTGTGAGCACCCAGGAGGGCGTGGGCTGCGTGTACCATGCTGCCATCCTGTGCCAATGGCATAGTACCTTTCCTGTCCCTGATAAGTCTGGGGCCTGGGCCTGGCCAGCTATGACAGAGGAAAACCAAGGAGGATGGCCCAGAGGCAGTGGTGGGGTCAAGGTGCTTAGGATGGCCCAGCTCTGCTATCGCCCCGGAGCCCTCAAAGAAGCAGCCCTTTGCTGACATGTAGCTGACATGGTTTCTAGATGCGGTGCTTGCGCTGTAGCCTCTCCCATTGGACTATACCTTGCTTCTGGATGTCTCTCTCCTCCTGGTCCTATTAACCATCAAGTGGAATTCGGAAACCCAGGAGACCTGGCTTTCCATCCCGGCCCTGTCACCAGCTCGCTGTGAGGCTCAGGACAGCTCCCCTCCTCCTTTGGACCTCACTTTTCCCATCTGTAAAATGGGGATGGGAACTAGATGATTTGTGCGGCCTGACCAGCTCCAGCTGTGAGTTCATGGGAGCCACAAAACATTGCAAAAACCACAGGCTTCTTATGCTGCCCTAAGAGTCCCCCCAGCCCCACCTCTTAGGGAAAGCAATCCACCTTGTCCTTGAAGACAAAACTCTTTTAACTCTAGCACACCTGACACCTTTTGTCTTGTGTGAGTAATCCTTTGGTGTGGCAATGGCCTGGGGTGGCAGCTAGTGCCAAGTCTTAATCTATGGGGTTAGCTGAGTGACCACACAGGCCAGTACCATTGAAAGATTGATTGCATTTCCTGAGAGAAGGTGCACCTGTGCCGTGCAGGCCCACCTGCGGAGCCCTGGGTTTGGTCAGGAGGCAGATTCATGAGCCAGTGGAGAGCCCAGGCTTGAGGCTTTCTTGGGGTTTCCGTGGGAAAGGCCAGGCAGGGCAGGGCAGTTGCTTCATTTGGACAATTCTGGTGGGTTCTGGGTGGCTGCAGTGGTCTCTGGTTGTCTGGTTCCTGGTCCTAGGGTGATTTAGGGCTGGGGCAATATTGGCCTGGGGTATGAGAGTCAGGTGGAGGAGGTGGCTAGGGAAATGGGATTGGGATGGGTTGGAGGGTTGGGAATAGGCTTCTCACACACGTGTGAATGTTGGAGGGAAAGACAGGTGTAAACAACTCTGGCCATCTGTTTGAGCCTGTAATCAATTAATAGATGCCAAATAGACAAATATGGAATCTGAGGAAACAGAACAGCTGGCTGTTTGCCAGATGAGGAAACTAAGGCCCAGAGGCGGGGAGTGGACGTACCCAGGGGCTGGGGGTGTGCTGGGGCAGACCTGGGGCCGGAAGAGGTGTTTTTCCAGGAGGTTGTTGAACCCTTACCCTGCTTCCCAGTGGACGAGGCAAGGGTGAGCAGAGAACCCTCCGGAAGCACCTCACAGGGAAGGCCAGTGCCTGTGTGTGTTCAGCCCAGAGGCTCCAGGCCAGGTATAGGGGCCTCTGCCTGGAGCTCTGGGCGTCCTCTGCACAGGGTGACCCACCAGCTTTCCACAAACTCAAAGAGCAAATTAGCCACCCACACGGGTCTGCACCTGTGGTGCCCAGAAAGCTACGAAAGGCACTTTCCACACCTGATCCCCGTTTCCACTCACGAGAGCATTTAAGGAAGCCAGCCCCGGGTCTTGCCTCCTGAGTCTGCCTGTGGCCTCCAGCACCACGTAGACCTGCGGAGCTTTCTGTGGCTGCTTGGTTCCCCTCCTGCCAAGCTGGTGGTGACTACATAACACGGCGTGGCTCCGCGGCTCAGGGTGACCGTCAGCAAGCCCCAGGGTGGTTCCTTCCTTTCATAGACGGCACTGAATCCTCAGGCTGGGCTGCTGAACTGACCAATGATCCCCCACACCCAGTCCCCCGTGACCTTGGGGTCGGTGGAGGGAACAAATGTCCTGGCCACACTGGCTCATGGCAGGCCCAGTCGTCACTGCTTAAATGGATGTTAGGTGAGTGCAGGTGGAATGTGTTTAGAAAAGTATTGGATGGTTGGTGCAAATAGGGGATCCTGGGGGTCATCAGCCTGGGATTTAGTCCCAGCTAGTGCTATGCAAGCCTCAAGGGTCCCTTATTCACAGAGATGAGAGCCAGGTGTGTCATCTGGTAGATGTGGGTGGGCAGGGATGTGGCATCCCCTCAGGAGCCCAACTCTGGGGGCTCTGAATGGGTGAACAACTGAGCCCCGTCTTGGCTACAGGACGGCACAGTCCACTTGGTCTACGGGATCCTGGAGGAGCCATTCCGGTCACTGGAGGCCATCAACATCTCAGGCCTGCGGACGGGGCTACAGAGGGTGCAGCTCCTGAAGCCCAATATCACCTTCCCGGCCACGCCCTCAGACACGTACACCATGGATATCCACGCTCCCGACATCCAGATCCCCAACCAGGTGACCACGTACTGGTGCTACATCCACGAGCTTCCTGAGGGCTTCCCTCGGCACCACATTGTCAAGGTACATGCGGGTTCAGGACCCAGGTCCTCGCCCAGCCCTGCCTTCCTCCTGGGCCTGGGTTGTCCCTGACCCTGGAGAGCTGTCCTCTTATCACCGGAACCTCAGGCACCTGCCTGAGGTCCTACAGGATCAGCAAGTAGTCTCGGCTTCCCTGTCACTCTGCTCACTCCCCCACCCTCAAAGGGCCTCTGAGCTCCCACTTCCCTGCCTGGACCAAAGCAACCAACATCTTGACTTCTGCATCTTTCCTTGGGACAGGAACTGCTGTCTGTCTGCCAGGCCACCTTCTCCTTCATGAAAAAGCAGCTTAAGTCAGAATTCACTTGCTCTCGAACACCCGCCCGGGGAAGGCAGAATAGCAAAGGCCATAGCTGTCGAGTGTCCACTATGCCCCTGGCTCTGGGGGAGGGGCGAGGTGATCCCTCCTTCAGCAGAAGAGCCCCCAGTTTCCAGCAGGGGAAGTAGGCCCAGGGAGGTTATATGAGTGTCCAGAGTCTCACAGCAGGAAGGTGCATGGCCTTGAAGGTGCGCTCTGGGCCCGGGCTGTAACCTCAGGGCTGCCCTGCCTCCCACTGAGGCTGCAGGAGCCGGCCTGGCCATGGCCCCATATGCGTGAGGACGGTTGCGTCCTGTCCCTGCCTTGGCAGGAAATGTCCTGTAAAAAGCTCATTTCCTTCACTCTGGAGCTCTCTACGGGATTTGTTTCTGGGCTGATGGCTCCACCCTCACGGCTCTGAGCCCCAGAAGTGCCCCTGAAATTGCCTCGATCATCCCCCCCATTTTACAGATGGGCAGACAGACACCTATGGAGGAGAGCTGCTGGGGCGGGGAGGGTGGGCGGCCGGTTCCCGGGCTCAGGGGGCTGCCTCCTCACAGTACGAGCCTATCGTCACCAAGGGCAACGAGGCCCTCGTGCACCACATGGAAATCTTCCAGTGCGCCCCCGAGATGGACAACATCCCCCACTTCAACGGGCCCTGTGACTCCAAGATGAAACCTGACCGCCTCAACTACTGCCGCCACGTGCTGGCCGCCTGGGCCCTGGGTGCCAAGGTGCGTGCCCCGCGACCCCAGCATGTTGTCTCCTGCCTGGGCCCCTGGCATCCCCACACCTCTGTTTCCCCAGCTTCAATGTCTCAGAGGCCCCAAGAAGGGGTTCCTAAGGGGGCTCACGAGGCCACCAGAAGGGCCAGGCCTGAGATGGCCCCCTCGCCTCTGTGATGTCTGAAATGCCACCTGCTTCCAGCCTCTTTTAATTTTCCACAGAAACACAAGTGCCCCAGGACCTCATGCCCTCAGCAGGTCCTGATTCTGTTTCCCAACTGGGTTTTTGTGCACAGAGTGGTCCCAGGGGCTGGCTGGTGGGATGGGGCCAGTGTTGAGGCCTCCACAGGCTGAGACAATGGGGGTCTTGCCAGCTCTTGCACCCATCCAGAGAAGGGGTTTTGGGGGAAGTCTCAGCCCTAAGCACCAGCTCCTCTCCCCGACACCCTGACCTGAGTCACAGGATGTTCCTTGGGCTTGTAAAGAGATGTCAGGAGGAAGCGTCGCTCTAATCCTGCTGCGCCCCCTCCTCTACCCCTGAGGCTCAGGCTCCAACAGTTGACTGGGTTTGTCCCTGCCCGGACCTGGGACCCTTTCAGGACACACCTGTCTGTCTGACACCCTGCCCCACACAGGCATTTTACTACCCGGAGGAAGCCGGCATTGCCTTCGGGGGCCCTGGGTCCTCCAGATACGTCCGCCTGGAAGTTCACTACCACAACCCGCTGGTGATAGAAGGTAGGGGGCTCTGATGCCATCCTCCCCCTAGGGCTCAGCTGTGTTGAGCCAGTGAGAAAATTCCACCCTTTGTCTGCCCAGCATGGCGCCCCTGCTGTGCAGCTCCTCTTGGCACGAGGCCCTTGCGTCTGCCTCATCTGCTCTCCATCTTCCATGGCTGTGGTGGGCTCCCAGGGACAGGACCTCGAGGGGCTCACTCCTCACAGCACTGCCAGGGCCCAGCAGTGGCCCCGCACCTCCCTCCTTGTCCCTGTAATACTGGTGGCCATCGGCGCAGCACTGTCCATCCCAGGGGAAAGGACAAGGAGAATTTTCATAAGGGAAACTGCCAGATGCCAAGTTTCAAATAGAGGGAGCGGTGTGTGCATAAACAGGAAGGTGGTAAAGCAGGGCATGTTCCAGGACACAGGGGTTCCGGCCTGGCCGGAGTGCAGGGATAGGAAGGGGAGCTGGGGGCAGCTACTGTTGGATCACCCATACCTGAGGGTGGAGTGAGCAGGGTCAGCCCGCAGCATGGCAAGGCCAGGTGACGCTATCTCAGAAACTGAAAAAAATACTTCCCTCTCTGTTGTACCAGCATCTTCCACCATATACAGACACATGCACACACACGCACACACGCATGCACACACGCACGCATGCACACACGCACACACATGCACACACGCGCACACATGCACACACACATGCACACACGCACACACATGCACACACGTGCACACATGCATGCACACACGCACGCATGCACACACACATGCACACATGCACACGCACACAAGTACACATACGCACGCACAAGCACACACACACACTTTTTCTCTCTCTCTGAATGGTGCCTATTTTCATTTGTACGAGGGGCAGAAGTGGCCTAAGAGATAGGTGCTAGGCTGTGCCTTACCACCTCAGGGAGGCTGGGTGGATGACCTCACCCTCTGCCTGTTCTCCCACCTCCCACAGCTATTGTGAAGCTGGGAAAGGCTCACGCACAGAACTTGCTGTGGGCACGGGGCTGTGCTCAGCGAACAGTCGCCTGTGGTTTTTTTTCCTGGCTGCATAAGTAATACCTTCCGCCACTGTTGGAGTTATCTCCACATTCACAGAGAAGGGTATAAGTCAGCTTGGGCCTTAGCATGATACAGGATTTATTGCTCATTTAAACCCTGAAAGCAAATGGATTTTTGAAAACTCCTTAAGCATCAGGGAAGTCTGTCTTTTCATGATTATCTGGCTGTATTTATGGATCCTTTGCCAAATATAAGGACGCTCCTGTCACTTCACCAATCTTGAGATGGGCTGCTTTTCTATAAATATCAAAATCCCACAATTATTTCATGATTTAATCCCCATCTGAATTTTAACCAATTGCAACACCCTTTTTATTATTATCCTCTGATGTAATCAGCCCGGAGATACAGGAGCCGTTTGGGTTTGGATGGTGTAGGGGTGTCGAGGGAAGAAGGCAGAGGCAAGAGGAGTTGTTCTGGCCTCACCTTAAAGGAAGCAAGCAGGGAGATGGTTGGGCCCCCCTGAAAATGCCCTGCACCCCAGTCCACAGCCCTGGATTTGAATCCCAGCTTGGCCGCTTCCCAGCCCTGTGGTCCTGAGCGGAGTCTTCAGTTCAGGCTCCATCCTCAGTTTCTTCATCTGTAAAATAGGGCTATGATTCTTATTGTGCAAAGCTCCCATGAAGGGGATAGGTTATGCTTAGAGCATTTCTGGCACCCAGGGAAGATGTTAGTATCTGTACCACCCTCTTAGTTTGTTTGATCAGAAAGAGCAATGCATGTACACTGGTGAGAAGATGGAGAGCAGAAAAGCATGAAGAAGATGAAAGCACTCATGAGCTCCCAGCTCCCGGTTTTGAAGTCAGCACTGGTCACCCGGCTGCGTGTCTGTCCTGACTGCTTTTCTGGCCCATTAATGTTTTTCTTGTGACCAGAATTTTATATCTTTTTTTTTTTAAGTCTTCATCAGAAGCCTTGTCCCTGTGAATTAAAACCCCTTGTCAATTTCACACTCCTTGCCGCCTGACATCCCTTTCCTATACGTAACCCGGGGGCGGAGTCTCCTGCTGCACAGCCCCTCCTGACCACCCCGCCATGTCCACCATACATCCGGGGGCATGGGGCCATGGCCAGGCCTTTAGATCCTCCCCCAACCATGAACCCAGCCTGTATTCTGAGCCTGACTGCTGATTCACTAGGCATGGAGTTTCAGGAACGGTGGGGCTACCTGGATGACACATGGTTGTGAGGATGTTCCAGTGGGTGCCAGCATCCCTGAACCTCTGTTTTTTGTTTTTTGTTTTGAGATGAAATCTCACTTTGTCACCCAGGCTGGAGTGCAAAGGCGCGATCTCGGTTTACTGCAACCTCCGCCTCCCAGGTTCAAGCGATTCTCCTGCCTCAGCCTCCCGAGTAGCTGGGATTATAGGCACGTGCCACCACACCTGGCTAATTTTTGGATTTTTAGTAGAGACAGGGTTTCACCATGTTGGTCAGGCTGATCTTGAACTCCCGACCTCAGGTGATCCACCCGCCTCAGCCTCCCAAAGTGCTGGGATTACAGGCATGAGCCACTGTGCCCGGCCCCCTGGACCTCTGACCATCAGTTTCATGTGACCGCTGGGAGGCTGGCCCAGGGAGTTTCAGGGACTCTCCAATTAGCAAACTGCAAGGAGAACCAACAAGCGTGGCCACGTCATAATCAGAAGACACAGTTTCCGTGACTGGAAGAAGCACCATGTTATTCCTTTGGAAGAGGCCCTTGACTGTGGGCTGAGGCCCAGAAAGGGACAGCAAGTCATCTGAGAGCACACAGCACGCTGTTGACCAAGCGGGACCCGGGGCTGTGCATGAAGCGGGGCTAGACCTGCAACTCGGACCCTCCTCCTGGGGGGCCAGATTCTCATTCAAATTGTTCCTGAGATGTCAGCTTGGTAGGTGGATTCCCTGGGTCTGCAGGACATAAATCAAAGTAGTAAAAGCGGGGGCTACAGGGAAGATGAGCTCCTGGAATGCTTCTTGTTAACGTCAACACAGAGATACACTCACACTTGCCCAGCTTTGACACAGGACCAGGGCTCTTCTGTGCCAGCGGCAGATGGGAGTTCCATGCCCTCTTCTTCACCCAGACCACACCCTGCAGGTTGTCACCGTCCTGCAGGCTGATTTCCAGCTTAGGTTCCTTTGAACATGGAAGAAGAACATCAAAGCACTTACGAAACAATCTGAGCACAGAATCCAAGTTGTTTATGAGTTTCCATTTATCAGCAGCATCTCACCTGCACCTGACTCCATGGAGGCTTGAAGTGGCTCACCTTGATCACATCTTTCCATAGCATTCAACTAGTTTTCATAGAAACAACAGCTCTTTCTTCCCAGTGAGTGTAACCTGTTTGCGTTAATTGATCTTGTGAGCTGCCTGGCATCCACAGGCGTGGAAACAAAGACAGCCAGCTCTTGGTCTGCCTAGCAGGCGGGAGCAGATGGGGGGTGACCAGCCCTGCCTCCTGGCTGAGGGTGGGTGGGGTCATAGGGACAATCTGTCGGCAGGCGGAGGTGAGAGGGCCTCCACTCGCCACTCACCTCCATCCATCCCACCTTCTCCCAGGACGGCGCGACTCCTCAGGCATCCGCTTGTACTACACAGACAAGCTGCGGCGCTTCAATGCGGGGATCATGGAGCTGGGACTGGTGTACACGCCAGTGATGGCTATCCCACCGCGGGAGACCGCCTTCGTCCTCACTGGCTACTGCACGGACAAGTGTACCCAGCTGGTGAGTGGGGTTGGGCCCGGCACCACACCCTCCGTCTTCCCACGTCCCCTAGTGGAGGCCTGGCAGGTGGTGGCCCAGGAAGGGTGGCAGGCACAGCTTTGGTTCCCCTGACCCTGAATCCCTCTGCGGTTCTCGCTCTCTTCTATATGCAAGGGTGCCTTCCTGCTGAGAGGCCATTTGTGTGTGTGCACCTCCCTCTCCAGCAATAACCATGGCTCCCACTAGTCCACACCCACGTGTCAGGCTTCCACGCGCTGCATTTTAAAATATGCCTTCATTATGTAAGCAACACACACGTGCACTTGCCACTCAAAAGCGCAGGCACTGCAGCTATAAGAGAATGCTCCCCTCATCCGCTGCTGCCTCTCCCTGAGATATCCACTTATTGGCTCTTTGTGTGCTTCCAGATCTTTCTCCTGTGTATTTCAGGAAGCCCTTGCAGGTGTCAGAAACCTTTTGAGTTTTTTTTAAAAAGTTGTATTGAATAGTTTACAAATTTTTCAACAAATGGAGGCATTTTTCTGGTGATTTGCCTTTTTATTGCTGCATAGTATTTCACAGGATGGGGTTTTCACCATGTATCTAACCAGGGCAGGACTAGGTGAGGCAGTGAAGTGCCAGGTACAGGATCTCAGGGAGACTGTCAGGGAGACTGAGGAGCCTTCAGTCTCCCCATCTGTGAAATGGGTACAACACTTACTTTGCAGGTCATTGTGAGAAGTAAAGCTACCTCACAGGAGGAAATGTTGGTAACATATACACAAACTATGAAATAACATCCGTCATATAAGAAGAACTCCTAGAAACCGACAGTAAGAAAAACAAACCACCTATTGGAAAAACCGAGCACAGGGATGAACAGAAAACAGGAACAAACGGCCAAGAGGGAGAGGAAAAGATCCTCAAGTCCACAAACAGAAAATTCAAGTTAAACAACACTGACATGTCTTCATGAGCTTGTCCTCAGGGCTGCACATGCTGGGTGGAGGCACAGGTTGGCACTTAGACTCTGGTACCAACAGCAGGTCCTGTCCTTGGCTTCTGGCGAGATCGGGGACTGACCACTAAAATCCCCTCCTCTATTTGCCTTATCTTGGTCCAAGCCTGTGCTGAACTGTCTCCCTATCAATCGGTGTCTAGGCTGTTCTCAACTTCTCACCAATAGAAAGAAAGCTTCCTGGAAATCCTTGTCCATGCCGGAAACCGTTTTCTCATGTAGATTTCTAGACGTGAAATTGCTGCTCAGAAATCTGAGCGTTCCCTTGAATCAATCTTGCAAAATGCCTCTCAGAAAGCCCATCTGCTGCTTCCTCCCACACACAGGATGAGAGGGTGCCTGGTTTGACTGACCCATTGGATTTTTAATATTGTAAATATTTTCTGGCCTGGTGCGGTGGCTCACACCTGTAATCCCAGCACTTTGGGAGGCCAAGGCGGGCTGATCACGAGGTCAGGAGATCGAGACCATCCTGACTAACACGGTGAAACCCCGTCTCTACTAAAAATGCAAAAAAATTAGCCAGGCGTGGTGGTGGGTCCCTGTAGTCCCAGCTACTCGGGAGGCTGAGGCAGGAGAATGGCGTGAACCTGGGAGGCAGAGCTTGCAGTGAGCCGAACCGAGATCGCAGCACTGCACTCCAGCCTAGGAGACAGTGAGACTGCATCTCAAAAATTAAAAAAAAAAAAAAATACATATATATATATATATATATACACACACACACACACACACACACATATACACATATATATACACACACACACACACATATTTGGGAGGAAGACATGTCAGTGTTGTTTAACTTGAATTTTCTGTTTGTGGACTTGAGGATCTCTTCCTCTCCCTCTTGGCCATTTGTTCCTATTTTCTGTTCATCCCTGTGCTCGGTTTTTCCAGTAGGTGGTTGTTTTTCTTACTGTCGGTTTCTAGGAGTTCTTCTTATATGATGGATGTTATTTCATAGTTTGTGTATACGTTACAAACATTTCCTCCTGTGAGGTAGCTTTACTTCTCACAGTGATCTGCAAAGTAAGTGTTGACGTACCCATTTCACAGATGGGGAGACTGAGGCTTGCTGGGATCACACTGCCAGCAGTCACGCAGAGTGAAGATTCAAATACCGGTCTGTTTGACTTTGACAGTTGTGGCCGTGACAGCAGATTGCACTGTAATGAGGTTTATAGTGGATTTTCCTTCCCAGTAAATGGGTCGATTGGGATTTGTTCTTCGTGTGGGTGAGCCCCCAGAGCATCCCAGTCTTCCAAGCAAAGGTTCCTCGAGGCTGAAGGGAGACGGAGCTCTCGGCCAGCACGGTACCCATCGTCTCTGGCAGGAAATCAGCTCTTTTTGTCCCAGACGGGGGTGGACACTCCCACTTCCCTAAAGCTCCCACTGGTGAAGCGTGGGTCCATGTAAAAGGCACCTTGGCCAGGGCTCATGGGGAAGAGCAGCTTCCGGCCAGGCAGCACTCACTACCCCTTGCAGGGCCTTGGAGCTGTTGATCCCACTGACCGCTGACCGTGAGAACGTCTCTCTCCAGCCTCAGGAATGCAGACCCGCCTCCCCTTGCCAGAGTCCTCCACTACCTTAAGTGACAGAATGAGAATGATCAGTCTTGTTCTCTCATTTAGCAGATAAAAGAGGGGCACAAATTCTGCAGCCAAAATCTGGCCTAGTCTAGATATCCCAGTGAAATAGGCCAAGACGAGAGTGCTGCTTTGGACCAGAGTGCCCAAAAGAGCATATCCTCCCTCCACCTGGGCGACACCCAGCATCTGTGGGCCAGGGTCGGCCTCTGGGGGCCAAAGGGTCATTGGGACCCTTTGGGCTCCCAGGCCCGGCACACAATGGCCCCTCAAGCCATTGCAAGGGACACAAAGCTATAGGCAATGGCAAGGTCAAGGGTGGCTGCTGCTCGGGAGTGAGAGAGAAGGAGCGAAAGTGAGTCGTAAAAAGCTTGGTCATCTGGGGCCTTCAGGGACGGGGCTGTCAGGACCTTGAGCTCTGGGATCTGCTGACCGTATGAACAAGCTGGGCAGAGCCTGGCAGTGGGTGGGCAAGAGGACAACTGACTCACTAAGAAAATGCTCGATTTCAGGAAACATGTTTTCTTTTCTTTTTTATTTTTTTTATTATTTTTTTGTCTTCGTCGTTGTTTTGGGATGGTTTCACTCCTGTTGCCCAGGCTGGAGTGCAATGGCACTGTCTCAGCTTACTGCAACCTCTGCCTCCCGGGTTCAAGTGATTCTCCTTGTCAGCCTCCTGAGTAGCTGGGATTACAGGCATGTGCCACCAT